GATGGTCAGATTCCAAAAGATCTCCTTGTATGGAGAATTAGTGCAGGGAAAGAACCCCAGAGGGAGACCACAGCTGCAATACAAGGATATCTGCAAGTGGGATCTGAAGGCCTTAGGAATGGATGTCAACAGATGGGAAACTTTGACATCTGAGCATTCAGTCTGGAAGCAGTGCATCATGGCCTCTCCCAATTTGAAGAGGCACTTGTTCAGCAGGCCGAGGCAAAGAGGCAGTCCCGAAAGCAGCAAAATCAGGGGACAGATTGTATTTGTCTTCGGTGTGGAAGGGATTGTCACTCTCCAATGGGCCTTCTCAGCCACACTAGACATTGTTCCAAGACCTCTATTCAGAGCACATTACCATACTCGAGACTGAAGGATGCCTACCACACAGTTACCTATAACCAGCTTGTGTGAAATGGCATTGTATACTTACATCATGGATATACCCTGTTTTCCCGAAAATAAGACCTAACCTGAAAATAAGACCTAGTATGATTTTTCAGGATGCTCGTAATAAAAGCCCTGCCCTAAAATAAGCGCCAGTTAAGTGAAATCCCGCCCTCCACCATTGTGCAGCATTGTGCAGCAACCAGAAGAAGATGACATGACTGTATTTGAATAAATATAGATTGTTGTACATGAAAATAAAATAAAACATCCTCTGAAAATAAGCCTTTAATGCATTATTGGAGCGAAAATTAATATAAGACCCTGTCTTATTTTCAGGAAAACAGCATATATGGGCAGAGTGCTAGTGTGATTGGCATTTGAAGAACCAAATGCTGATTGGTTCGTGTGAGTAGAAAGTTGTGGGAGTAGGGTCTCTGCATCAATTAAGAGGTGACAACTGAGTTAGAATCAGAGGGAAAAATTCAGATTCAGAGCAATGAGTTAGAAGAGAGCTGAAGAATAACCAGAAGTTTGTTTTAAAGTTAAAAAAGCAAAGTGTGCTGCTTATATACCATCCCATAGCACTTCAAGCACCCTCTGGGCAGTTTACAAGTTAATTATGCAGGCTACACATTGCCCCCCCACCCCAGTGAGCTGAGTACTCATTTTACTAACCTCGGAAGGATAGAAGGCTGAGTCAACCTTGAGCCGGCTACCTGGGATTGAACCCCAGGTCGTGAGCATAGTTTTCGCTGCAGTACAGCAGTTAACCACAGCGCCACGAGGCTCTTAACTAGCAGTGTGTGCTAGCAGTTTATTAAGTTTGAGACAGGAGGAAAAGGCAGGAAAGGAGAGGCAAAAGAGGGTGGAGTTTGAGGCAGGAATAGGGGAGGTAAAGAGGAAAGAAAGGCAGTTGCTGCCAGGCTGGGAATGGGTGTGGATGGAGGATCCCTGGACCATGGGAGGGGCTAAGAGTGCCCAAGGAGGAGGCTGACTATAGAAGGGAGATTCCACCCAGACCTCATATTGGGGAGAAGCCGAAGTGAGAGAGTGGAGAAGGAGACTGAGAGAGGAGAAAGAGAGAATGGAGAGAGAAAGGAAGGAAAAATTAGAATGGAGGATAAGAGAGATGAGGAGGAAGAGTTACAGGGAGGACCCTGG